CAGTTCTATAATCTCTTTTTCGTTTTATAATATGACGACGTCCTTCCGTAAAAAGCCAACGAAAACACGAATGTAATCGCGTACAGTAAATATGCCGGATAATTGGATTATACTTACATATGAAGTGATAAAAAGGAGGAATATAATCACTAATGTGTTTTTTCGACCCATTTCTCTGGGGTTCTGGAGCCCCATTACCATTTCCGTGTCACTCGCAACATTATCAACAACAGAAATGAACACAAGAAGAAACGAAACAGAAAATTAAATTACAGAAACATTTCTGGCCATACATTATGCAGGGTGTTCAACCATCCCTGGGAAAAATTTTAATGAGAGATTCTAGAGGCCAAAATGAGACGAAAATCAAGAATATCAATTTCTTGACTGAGGCTTCTTAAAAAGTTATTAAAAAATTAAATTTAAAAATTTAAGTATTTACCAAAAATGATCGTAATTGACTCCCGCACCCAAAAATAATTTTCTTAAAACGATTTGAAATTTTTCAAAAATTTGTCTACATTCCATAACTTTTTCTCGAAAACGCGTAAGATTTCGAGGGTATGTGTATTGACCAAAAATGGTTGTAATTGATCCTGCTAGCTAAAAATATTTTTGTAGTACGATTTAAACATTTGTTTTTTTGCCGAAAAATTTAGGCACCTCCTTTGTCGATGTTTCTTAAAAATTCGTTTTTCATTGTTAGTAATTTTGTTTGACGCCCTATAGAAAAGTTGTCTAATCCTTTTTTGTAGGTACCCATGAGCTCTGCTTCAGAAAAAAGTTGCATTGAAGTATATTCACTATTGCAGGAGTTATGGTTGTTTGAAAATTGGACCATTTTTATGGGGTTCTTCTAACTTTATGGGGTCAAGAAACAACTTTTTCAATACTGTTAGAATTTCTACATATTCTTGACCAAAATACGCGTAGTTTGCCGTTTGAAACATTAAAATCCTCCAATCCGTTCAGAAGTTATGACGTTTTAGAGATACGCAAGAAATTTTCGATTGACATTTCTGGCCCGAAGTTATATTTTCGGTAAGGAATTTTTTCCTCGAAAATGGTTAGGATTTCGGGGATATGTCTATTGACCAAAAATGATTGTAATTGACCCCCGCAACCAAAAATAATTTTTTTAGAACGATTTCATATTTTTTTTTTTGCCGAAAAATTTGTTTTCGATTTTCAGTAAACACAACCATGAATATTGTAGTAGTTGAGTGAAATATAATCTGTAACGTTTACCAAAGAATAGTCGAGGTAAATATGCCATAATCCAATGCTGGGTAATCGAAACCCTACTGTGTAACTAAACCAAATCTTATAAAATCGATCTACACAAAATTATATGCATAAATACAAAATATATGAAAGAGCAATAAAAAAAAATATGATGAAGTCAACCTCTGAAATAAGCAAACGAACGTCCATCTTTATCAATTACTTTCTATGCTTAGGCTAAATAATGCAACGAAGGATCCTGAATACTCCGACACTTTGTATTTGCGTAATGATCTAGATTGCGATGTTTCTTGAATGGAAAGGCGGTCTTGGTTCTTTCCTCGCGTCGCGTCTTTGTACATTGTTTTTCCAAAGACAATAGACGTCCACGGTCCGGAGGCAAATAAAACTCCAGATATACTCGCGTTCGGAATATCCAAAGCCGCAGGAAATCCGGATTACATCGTTCGTTATGAGAAACTTCGTAGGCGCGTATATTTAGGCCAGCCTGTAGAAGCTTTACGAGCGTTCGTCCTCGTTAATCTAACGCAGAGGCGAACGTACCCGATCGCCATACCCGCTGTTACCGTTCTGCTCACGCGTTAATTCCCGAAATAGCGTCCAACGGTGATATATATAATCGAAAATCGTGACTACGTTTGAATTTTCGCGATTTATGCCTGACCGCGGAACGGGTGTCAGGCCGTCCCTCGTGACAGACTTTCTTGATCTTGCACCGTTTAGCGTTCAAAACCGACTCGTTTGCCCGCGGCGACTGAACATTCGCATGCTGGTTCCAAGCCGGCGTCGCTTGCGTGTGTTTACATTGGCATCGAGCCGTTTTTCTTTCATTTAGCAGCGTAAGAAAATCAACGATCAATTTAATTTTAGTGTTATTGAACGCCTATGGTTCGGCGGTGCAAAGAATTCTAAATCGAATTTAAAAAATAAACAAATCTAACGACGTCAGAGCCATACCCAAACATTGAATAAACCATTATTTACGTTTAAATTCCACGTGATCCTCGCCGCGTACACCTGTGCCAACGATTTTGCGACGCGCTGTACTGCATCGAAAGAGTTCACACTCTGATTGTAACGTATACGTTCGCTGGCAGTTCACACTTCAACTGTAACGTACAAACCGTTGGTGCAAACACGTTGGATTCAGAGCACGAGGTTGGCTGTGATACAGGATGTTAGGTCATCGTTGCTCCGTTACGTGGGCGGCTCGTCGCTCTCGCTTTGCTCTGATTAATACCGCTGGGGTAATCTCCGCGTTCGATCTATTATTTCACTGCCGCGTCGTTCGGGTCCTCCTCAATAAACCACCTTGCCTTTTCGTTCTCCGCCAATTGGACGACCCTTCGTGGAATACGAAATTGAGACCGGACCTCCCGTCGCGATCTTATGCATACGACCGAGGGCTTCACGAAGATGCGATCTAATCGGTCACTCGTATCGGTACGCGACATTCAGCGACCGTAATCTTCCTTATATCTGGACCAGTCTCGTGTATTCTTACGAGCCTCCCGTGTGCTGGTCGTTCGCGTACGTGTAATAAGATCATTGTTGCGTCGGGTCGGGGCATTCGGATCCCGGAGCTTGTGGTTTCTGTTCTTGTGAACGCGTACCTTCTACATATGTATGCGTTTCCTGTGATCTCACGAGGAAGACCCGAGATTTGGTCGTTTGATCCCTCGGGCACGACGCAACTTTCAATCTCGAGCGATACGATAAGCCTTGTCATTTAAATTTCAATTTTTCGAGAAGTTACGTCACGGGAGAGACGTTTAAAAAATTGATAGATACGACTATCACTTTCTTTAGGCGATAAAATTTGATTTGTAAACATAAAAATGTACGATTGATGGTTAACGAAGAACGCAATAGTACGACGAGACATCTTTAAATGATCACCGAGTGTCGGATTATTTTTATAAATCTGTTATACGAAGTGTAATGTGCACTAAAATATAGACAAATGTTTAAGACCGTGGACTATCTGGCACCCGCCAGAAGGGTGGCGAGTATCGGAGAAGAGAAACGGTGCTCCATCATACTTATCGCGGACAGATGAAAGTTGATCGTCATCGAGCGGTTACGAGGATCGCGATGAAACGGGAGACACATGCCCCACTCGCCTTGGTCCCGAACGAGGACATAAAAGGAGAGCGGTTCTAGGATCATCGAAGCACCTGCTATCTCGATCCAAGTAAACTATTGTCTCGGGAAAATTGATGAGAACTGGATACACATAGAAAATCATACGGAGATAAAACATTCTCCTATAAACGAATTTTCCCATGATCGATCATATAAGTAACAGAAACAAATACAAGTTTATCAAGTTTAATTAGTGAAATATATAAATTGAAAGCGTCGATGACTTGCTCGATGTAATACAGTAATTCCCATTTTCAAACGACATTGTTTTACGCCAAATTCGAACGAAGGAACAACCCCCTCCCTCCCCCTTGGTACTGCTTATGTTTATTCAGCTTACACGAAAGTGATAAGACACAGATACGGGATCGAATTTCAATCTTTAAAAAAAATTAAAATGTTTACGTTTGTTACTATATCTTCCTTCGGAGTACATTAATTTTTCGTGACCTTTGTAATCGCGTTTTTAATTGTACGTGGTTGAAGATTTCTTAAAAATGATTCCAATAAAACAGAGACTAGAATCGACACTAACTTGTTTTTCGAAATTGGTTCAAGTTATAAGAAAACTTTTTACTTTCGGATTTATACAAACACCTGCAATTAAGAACTTAGCGAGAACTGGTGGTTAAGAGAGGAAGATAGGCACTTCCGTCGTACGAATCTCGTGGGAGGTTTGACGTTTATGTGCTTGGCACAGCTGATAAGAACTAGTTCGATTCAATAATTACATAATTGTTTCTGAACAAACGAAACTGAAGGAAGAAATTGAAATATTGTTTACCAGTTGTTCCACGATTAAGCGTCTAAAAAATAATTGAAAATTTGTTTGTTCGAGCGTATATGTATATTTCTCCAATACATTCAGGCAGAAAATGCTTCGTGTAAAAAAATTCCGACGTGTATAGAAACGATCACCTAATTATAATGCAGCCTAATCATCGATTTCTTTCACAGAGAATACCGGTGAATTACACCAACGGAAATAGCGCTAACGTATTTATTCGGTGTTCATTCCGTCAGTAAAAATGCATGCGTTTCTTTGAGAACGGAGGATATGTATGAGTCAAATAAGCAAACGACTTTGAATAACGATGACTCAGACCCGCGAATTATTCAATGATACGTGCATTCCTGGAATTATGTGAATCGATATTCCCGAATTCAAAAGATCCTTTAAAAAATATTTTAAATCGATTTTGAAAATGTACCAAGTTGCATCTAAGTGTACGTTTCACTTTTCGTGGAAAAAGTCTAAAAATGTTATACGTTATTCGTGTGCAAAATTTGCCCAGCTCTGGTAACACGATATTTAAAAAATTATTGTTAAAAATTCAAGGCAGTGTCATCAGCTTCTTAAAATTTCCTTTACAATATATCAAATAAACATTGTATAACTTATTATTACAAGTTTAGATTTCATCTAACGACATATAAAATACATGAGATAAAGCAGTTAATCAAATTAGCTTCTGAAATACATGATTAACAGGCCAAAGGGGCATGGATCATCCAGTGATCTCGAAGTAGTTACGAGTGAATCAAGTGCATTGAAATAAAAATTTTTACGATGAATGTGTTAATAATAAAGTGTAGAAAGGAAGACTCACCAGCCTCGACCGTTTCTGTCTCGGTACATCGACACCGCGAATCCGAACATGGATTTGTTCTCGTTTTGATAAACCGCGTAATGTTTCGTCTCCACGTTGAACGCGTCGGAACACCAGGGTGGCGAACCGACGATGACCAGGCCAATGAGGCCTGCGAGGACGTTCGCGAACCACATAATTTCTCGTCAGTCACCTTTTATCACTGTGATACGATCTAACTGTCATAAGCGACCGGCGATCGAGGAATCGATGCGTGACGCACTGCTCGCGATCGATCGTCACAACTGACAATAATGGGTCAGGGTGCCGGTAGCGGCCGCGCAACAGACGACATGTGGCTTCTACGAGGCCCTCGAGAGACACTGCGAAAGAGACACTCACAATCAGTGAACGACAGACCGCCGAAAGGAAGTGGGGGTAAACGAGTCGGCAGACGTCTGCTTGACGGACGGTCGCGGACAGACTGAGTAGAAGACCGTTCTTTCGGTTTACTCTTCGTTCTCTTGGACTCGCGGGGGCTGCGAGTGGACTCCCACCCACTGCACGCGGTTCCGTAGTTGCGCTCCGCTCGGCCGTGCATGCGTACCGCGAGTCTAGTTCGTAATGGGATTTCAAGCATTTTGAATTTATATACAGGGTGTTCGGCCACCCCTGGGAAAAATTTTAATTAGAGATTCTAGAGTCCAAAATAAGACGATCGTCAAGAATAACAATTTGTTGATTGAGGCTTCGTTAAAAAGTTATTAACGTTTAAAGTTCCGCCTGTAGAACGGCAATCTGCAAACAGCTGCGTACGCGCGGTAGTGGTTCTCACTCAGAAAACTGTAAGGCTGTCGATATGTCGGTAAGTAGAGTTTCTCATGCTGAGTGAGAACCGCTAACGCATGTACGCAGCTGTATGCAGATTGCCGTTCTACAGGCGGAACTTTAAACGTTAATAACTTTTTAACGAAGCCTCCATCAACAAATTGGTATTCTTGACTTTCGTCCTAATTTGGCCTCTAGAATCTCCCATTAAAATTTTTCCCAGGAGTGGCCGAACGGGCTGTATAATGACGAAAAATTCCAATCGATTCGAATATCATTCGCAGCTTAGAACTCTCGAGGAACTCTCGTGTGTCTGAGATTTTTATAGATTTGGGACGGTTGAGAGTTTCGATAGCGGTTTAACATAGAAAAGGGTAGCGAGTTGGAGTTGAAAAGAATCCGAAAATAATTGTTTCGAACCGTTATTTCAAAATTCTGATCGAAACTATTACGAGGAACTTCTGTTCTGAATAGAAGAATCTAAAGATGGAACTATAACCAAGTTCTATAACCGCTATTCGTTAGGTTCTATCTAGATTCTGAAACGATTTCGAATCTATATAACATAAGCTATTATTTACGTCATATATTTAAAACAGAAAAAGATTTATTAAAAAATATCCTCACCATCCCATGGGTATTACCATGATACATTAACGTTTTTTAATGTTGAACTATTTGCTAATAGTCCTATTATCCCACTACATACAATAAAATTAAAAAAAGAAGTAACACAAAATCTAACAATTATATAATCTGAAAATTTAAGTAATCTCTGAAATTAACGGTTTTATAGAATATTAAATTTTGTAATATGTTATATGTAGCTGATAACACAAAAAACAAAATAATAATTCCTGATCAGTATATACTTTCTTTATTTTTAGTTTGTTTGATTTATAATTATTTCAAGATTTCTAATAAAAAATTCAATAGAGTCTACAATAGTATATACCTTATTGAGTTCTTCCAGAGACTGGTCAAGATGTTTTCAAACAAAACTTACATTGGCACTAATAGGTACATGGAACCCAAATTTATATTGTATCAGTATATTTTGATGTTGGAACCACCTAGACAATTTCGTGCATTACCTATTTTGGATCACTGAAAAACATGTCATTATATTCATATGAAGAACCTCAATATACAATAATAACAAAGTTTGTTTGTGTCCAATGTTTGTAAATAATATCTATAATTATTAAATTTTAAAATGCTATCATGATGCTTTTCAAAGCTACACTAAAGCATTGTTAAGTTATAAAATCTTGCTGTAAAGAAATAAAATAAGAAGTAAGAAATTAACTGATCGGCAGTACCGATAGGTTAGAATTTAAATTCTACTAAGGAATTATGCTACGCATAAAAATAATTAACATAATTAACACTATAAGGAACAAACCTGCGCTATATCGCACACAGTATCATAATTGCACAAACAAATACTTAATTCTTCGTAGAAATCCATTCTAAATGTTCTAACCTATGCTAGCTTAGGTTATGTTTACGTCAAACCTGGACTTATACACTGTTACCAAATGTAATTTCAGTACGAGTAGTATTAAAAATACCTATGGAATCTGTAACGCAATTGTATAGGCGATCCCAAAATGACGCCATTTTTTCACTAACTAACTAGGGATTTATTTTATACTATATAGGGTCAAATAATGGTCAAGAATAAGCGAATGAGTATAATCTCACGTACGTTTATATTTTATGGTCGTTACTCTACAAACTACTGCCAATGAATAGTAAAATTAACAATTTTGAGGTTATAATCTCGTAGAATGTTAACTACCATCAGCAACATTTTTCCAAATTAAAAATAGTTATAAAACGGTTGAAAAATGTCAAAAGCTAAAGAAAATACGGAAAATCTAACAGAGAAAACAGAAAGCGAATGTTCTTTCAAATTCTATGACTTTGTGACAGAAGTTGGTAACATGACACTTGCTTGTCATACAATTAAAATGGATAATAGTCTTTACTTGTGGGTGGGTGATTCACGTGAAAAAGCAATGAATGATTTATCATTTGCTATTGAATCACAGTTAGCAAAAGAACCATTTACAACAAAAATTATTGGACCAATTGCTACTGAAGTTTCAAGTAATCTTGCTAAGAGACTCTCAAAGAAATTTTCTAAACCTGTTTATGTCAGTTTTAATGTTCCAATTGATAATATGTCTCTACCTGCAATTGAGAAAAGACTGAAAGAAGAATTTGATGCACACCCTGATATTTTATAACAATATTTATTAATAGAATGTAATTTTATATGATAATTAATGTTTCTTATAATAAATCTAACTTGAATCAATCACATATTTTATATTTCAGCTATTTGTAAACAAAATCTAATGTATCCATAAATGCCTTTTGTAAAATCTTATAATTAATTGTAATTAGACCTAACATCCTTATATAAAGAAAAGATAGTTTTATAATGACTGCATTCTTAACTATTATGAATACATTTGTGATTTATAATATGCAATAAGTCTTATTATTGGCAAAAGAAATGTGAACAAAGAAGCTTATACAATTTCAAACTTGTTTAGCATCCTCTGGACCAATTTAAATTATGTAAATATCACTAGCTTCTTTGTCAAATTCTTAATAATATGCCATAACCAATTTTCTACAGATTCTTTATGAAATTAATTAGATACAAACAATTACTGAAAGCAATATTTCTCTTAATTGGTATATTAAATAATTCGATAATATATGGCATTATTTACAAACTGGATTCTAATTACTAAAATGTTAACAAAATTACAAAATAAAAAGAGCATAGACAAACGAGACTAGAAAAAGAGGGGAATATTGTGCAGTAAAGTCAAAGAGCGCATATTCCCGCCATTTTAATTAATCGAACTACAGTTTGATTATTAACTAATTACTTTTTTCCCGTGATTAAATTATGAACTTTTAGAGTTTAATACTAAAATCTAGACCCTTGGCAATATTCAAGGACACTTTTCATAAACATTTCAATCGGAATTACATTGCTAGCAAATTTTGGAAAACTGTATATTGTATACTACATATTAAGATCAAAAGATGAAATTGTGATTTCATTTTAATTGCTTCGGAAATAATTATTATTTCTCTCGATATTTAATCTTAATTCCAAACATTAAGGGCGCAGAAGTCGTATTCTAATCTGAATCGATAACGTTGTTACTGACACGAAAATAATATGGTGGCTACGAAGCCCACCGCCTTATGCAACACAAAAATACATTAAATGACAGGCTTATATTATTCCTAATCCATAGTAGTACTATCAGGAAGAACATAATACAGTTTCGAACAGAGATTCGATCTCATAGAGATCAATGAGAAATAAGTACACATGTGAATCCAGAAACGTAGTACTACGGACTCTATATAGGCGTCGAATGTGGTATTTTCTCAAACATGGAAGCCCCCGAATTGGCACAGATCCTTCAAGAGAATGCCGCATTCAGTGCATAGAGATCAGTGCAAATCGGTGGTTTCAGCTACTCGACGAGCAAACGTTTACCGCGAAGAAGAAGGGTATGCGTTTGACATACCGTATTTCCCTTAAACGTCGTGAATTCATGTTACTAGTTATGCATACGTACACATTTCTGTATATCACAACGCTGAAAATAGAAAATTTCCATAAGTGCAATTACCGTACTACTTAAAAATCAAAACACTGATAAACCAAAATCACAGTACATAGCCAATTGTTTACGACTTCTCGTAACTTTACACCTAAAGCCATAAGAAATCTCTTGTCCTCATTGATATTTTAGCGAAAATATGTGATCACAAAAACATTTATATACGAATTGTTTTTTATTTATTGCGGGCGTGCTACAAGGATCGAAGGCATATATATATACATATACATATAATACATATATATATTATATATATATATATATATATATATATACTAAACATTTATACAATATACATATAGAATATTTACAACAACAAGCGTCTTCTTGTCGCGACGGAAAACTTATTATAGCGTCGATTATGTGTGTGTGTTTAGTGTTAAAGCAGTAAAATGTTTTATACTGTTCGATAGAAAGGAAATTTCGAAATAAAATTGCATCGATAAAATTGTACAGAACTCGAATCCTTATGTATTAAGAATTTAGGCTTTTATCTACTAAGGATCAATTGGAAAATATCCTTAGGTAGTAATCATTTATTAACCATTGAAGGCGACAACACCCGAGCCCGTACTGATCTATATTTTCTTTTATATACATTTAAAAATAAGGTTGTAGCGATCGATGTTGTGCTTTTTCAATTTTTTAATTGTTGTATTACTTTCTTGTATAATTACACTAGTACACAATATATGAAATACTAATAAAAAATCAGTTCTGATACGAATGTAATATACTAATAAAAACGGAGAAGAAAATAGATTTATGAAACATAAGCAAACAATTATTATTTTTTCTCAATATACCACAAATACTACTTTAAATTCATTAATGACTATTTTTTACTGTTGTTATATTAATTTTATATTTTTTAGTCTCATTCCTAATGTTATTGATTATGTTTCTAATATTTATATTTCTTTCAGACACAAATGTCAATATTGTCAATTTAATTATCATCAGCCAAGCATTGAAACTAAGCTTTCATAAATTTAGGTAAGATAGACTCAATTATTACTAAAGAAAAATTAAAAATCTGTGTAATTCTATTACAATATATTCTTAGAACTTATTAATTTCAAATGCAACATTAAAGATGTTTAATATCTGAAATTTCAAATAAATTGTTCAACATATAATATGTAGTGAAATTCATCTTGTTAAGCATTAGAATAGATCAAAACAACCTTGAAACAAATAATTTATACTTAATTTTATACTCTAAATAGAATTTTTCTGACTTAAAATGGTACGTTCCATATACATATCACAATGTTAAATATTGAATTTCTAATATATAGTAATTTATTTTAATTGTAACAGTTTTTAAAAATATTCTAGGACACAATATTTTAGGATAAAATTGATTTTGATAAATGGGGAAGATTAAAAAAATACCAGAACGTCTTCATGGCAGTCAATCTCAAAACATATTGCAGAATTTAATGCTCAGAGACTTTGGTTTCCATACAATACATAAACCTAGTACACAATTGGAATCCATAGCTGAGAAAAACCTTGTTTTGAAAAATCATGTGGAATTGGTAAAAAAAACACAATATAGTATTATTAAGTATATGAGAGAAAAAAATTATTTCCTTGTTTTTAATCTAATTTCTTTCAGAAATGTGATCTACCTGGAATCCCTAGAGCAACATTTTTAATGGTTTTTAGTCCTGATGGGTGAGTTGCCTAATAAATTTAAAATTCAACAATTTAAAGTCAAGTATTATTGGAGATAAAAAATTATAGTTATATTTGAAACCGGCTTACAAAATTTATTTTCAGAACTAAAATGGCATCAACACATGGGAATCACAACGTTTATATTACTGAAGTTACAACCGGGAAAAACATTAGAACCCTTTCAGGTCATCCACGTACTCCATGGTGCATTGCATTTCATCCTTCCTCTAGTCAGATTTTGGCTTCTGGTTGCTTGGGTGGTCAAGTTCGCGTTTGGGATTTAAACGTTAGTAGTCGTTTTATAGCAATTGTCTTAGGCATTGATATGAAACAGTATACATATTTGCCACTTTTTTGTTAAGTAAAATTTGTTTAAATAATTTAAAAAGTATGATATTGATATAGGATGGTAGTGAGGTTTGGAATGCAGAAAGTCAGACAGTCATAGCTTCTCTTGCTTTTCATCCATCTGAAAGGTTACTCGTTATAGCAACATACAATGAAATACATTTTTGGGATTGGAGTCAATCCGAACCCTTTGCAGTAGCAACTACTAGAACAAATAAAGAAAAAGTAAGGTGAGTCTTGAAAAACGTTTATATTAATGTTCTGTAGTTAATCTGGATTAGTAAACGTTGAAATGAATTTATTTGTATCTTATGCTTGTTAGAATTAAATGTAGTTACTTTATGTTAGATTATGCATTTTAGGTATGTGACTTTTGACAATTTGGGAAGAAAGCTAATTACAGGTATTGCGAATGCGCTGCAAATGCAAACGCAATGGGATTGTCCTCCTATAGAGCAACAGTATAGAAATATATTGAGGTATGTAAATTAATATGCTTACCATAAAGAAGTTATATCATGTGGTATTGATGATTATATTTTAGATATTCACGCGACGGGGCACAGGTGTTTAATACGTTGCCTAGGTATCATTTATGGAATCATGGAGCGACGTACGGGAGCCAAATACCAAATAATTATGCAGAGAGAACTACTCAAAATTCGGATAATTGGGTGCAACACAGACGTATTATAGCATTAGAAAATTGGTTCAAATCGAATCACACAATTTATAGTGCTTGTTATTTTACGCACCGAGATCATGAAGCGTCCTGTTCGCACGGCAGAAGTAATCAAGATTGTAGATTTAAATTACGAATAAAGGAAGTTCAACAGTGTAAAAATACTTCTGAACGTATGATGTTATGTTCGCCGGGTGACCACGAAACGATTCAGTCGTCGAGATCTAATACAACAGAGTGTCCATATAACCGTCAGTGTTTTAATGTAGAGAACAGCGTGACTCGAAGTATTACAGGAACCATAGGAAAACGATTTAAAGTGAAAAATGAAGATGAATTTATCAGACAGAAACTGTTCAAGCGTTCCTATTGCGCATCTTGTACTGGTAAATATTCAAGTAATTAAGTTTGTTAAACATATTTTAATTTTTATGACTGGAAAATGAGGCATAAGATAACACACTTGAAAAGTTTATTTCCATAATTTTTTAGAAAACAACCCATCTTCGACCGACAAAGTATGTTTGCACGAAATAGAATCAGCATTGCATAGTGCTGCAACTGCGTCATTTGATACAGCATCTGAGATAAATGCACAAAATCGAGAAAGACCTTCGAGAACTCCAAAAGCAATAGAAGTTGAAAATAATAATTTCCCTAATAATTTGTGCAATGAACCAAACAGTATTATTAGAAGTAACAGATTATTGAGGATCAATAATTCATACGGGTTGAAAGAAGCCTCAAAAAATAAAAATAGGTGTGTATTTATTATTTAAAAATAATAATAATCTAACAATTTTTACACAGCATAACTTTTCATTACATTTTTCAATTATTCATTGCATGTTAAGCATATTTCAATTAAAACTTTGTAATGTTCTGGAACTTGTCCTTTAGAAACTCGCCCTTATTATGGAGAGTATTAGATCGGTTTCAAAAGAACTTGTATACAATTCTTACGGCAAATATGACAACGATGCAGAAGATGTTATTAAATAGTAAAAATATTGACAAACAGCTAAAATATGAATATTGGTTACTTGAAGGAAATCATAATTTTAACTCACATGCATCCGAACAAACACAAACATTGTCTTTAGATAGAAACGATTACAGGAATTTATCACAGAATTATCGCGAATCATCTTTGATAGAAATTGATTTTAACGATAATTCATACTCTCAAATATCAAGTGGTAACTTAAACCCAGAAAAGCAAGAAAATACCATTAACAATATAAGAATAAGTAGTAGAATACTGGATGATAAACAAGTTCGGGAAAAAATTTATAATCCTGAAATACCTGTTCCACCTAGTAGTGTTGTAAATCATTTAGAAGGAAGAAGTGGAAATGAACGTACAGACTCGCGAGTATTGTTTGTACCGAGTTCAGAATTTGTAGATGTTTTAAAAGTTCATCAGAGTATTAAATTACTTAATCGATATATCAATAACATAAAAAAATTATGTCGGTAAGTTATAACTAAAATTTTGATAATAAAATAAAACGGTAACAAGTATATTTTTAAATTCTTTTTTTATGTGATTAACTACAATTTATGTTTCAGAACTAGATTGAAAATAGCAGAATTGCGACAAATACGTAAAATGTGGGAAAATTTACAACTCCAAATTAGAGTATTTGATTGTGTAGAAAAAGAAAATGAAAAAAATACAAAACTGAATATTAATTTTGATGATAGACGTCTGACATTCGTTCAAAATATTCCTTTAAATTCGCAACATGAAACTTATAGAAAAATAAGCAATGGAATTGATAATACAAGACCTTATAACCAGAGTCAGCCATCAACGTCGAAAGGAATTACAAGTTTTGAAAATAATTATGATACGAATCTTATGGAATCGATTAATGATAATGAATCTCAATTACAACGAATGCAAGCATACAATATGTCTCCAGTATCCGATGATTTATGCATACAATCTCAGAATTCGATGAATAGGCTACAGTACACTATAAATTCCACAAACAGCTGTACTAATTCTATTTTACCAGCCGAAAATAATTTCCTGCTACCAAGTGTATATACTAATTTGGTTTCTGGTATAAGTTCAACTTCTGCTTCCGAAGAAATCGCTGTTGAATCACAATTAACTGATATCCCAAATTTCACCAACAGCATATCTAGTCATTCTGTATCAAATACATTTCAAATATCAGTTGCAAATATGACATGTTCGTTTAACGAAGAAGTAAACAGTAATATCAATAACGATGGTTGCAGAAATGACACCAGTTCAACAAGTTCAACCTATCTTTCCACAAATCCAAGTTCCGAAATCACATCTGCATCGATAACAAATACTTTTCCCGTTCAAAATAGAGAGCATTTACACCAAAGACTATGTAAAAAATATGGTCGAAAAATTTTTTTCGGGTACATTGAAATTTTTACATTTATTTCTAAAATACAACATTTCAATTTCCATTTCTTGTTTAATACTTGTTTGTAAGTAAAGTTTTAATTTTTATTTTCTATTTTAGACGTTTAAAGTCATTCCACTTGCATCTTCTGAAACGAGATTCCAGGACTCAAAACAGAAACTCAACAAGTAACGATGAACGAAACAATAGTCGATCCGAAAGTGTCGAATACGTCTCTCAAGAAACGTACTTTCAGCATAATATTAATAGGGGAAGAAGAAACTTTCAAAGAAGTTGGAGAAGTGCATTGTCTCTGAATAGAAACGTTAATAGACCAAATAATGAGAGTACTGAATTTAGAAATCAAACATTTAATTCAACTACGGAACATTTTCTCCGGAATGAGGAAAATTTGAACTCCTCGACGAATTTTCAGAGATTTATTTCGCCTCATTCTATTTCAAATTACGAAACAAATAATAACAGACGAATTTTTTATAACGATATATTATCTCGCAGACAACAGTTAAATGTACCTGTCGTACAAATGAACTTGCCAGAAAACTCTCAAAGAAGACGTATACATGATCGATATTATATATCGAATAACTCCCGTTACTCCGTATACACCGGAAACTCGGGGCCACGAACAAGAGGAGGAAATAGTGGACAAGACCCCAGAAACGAGAGTAGTGATTTAAATTTTAGTGGTAAATATAATAAAATGTTCTATTCGAAAAAATATTTTTATTGATATCTGTGACGTTTAAATAGTAAGTAATATTTTGTATCACATGTTTTTATCAGAGTATATTAATACACCATTATAGGTCATGTTACATAAGTATCAATACTATCAATATATTTTATCTGTAGTAAAATATTTTTTAGATCGTATATGAGTAAATATATCTTTTAATATCATTCTTTAGAAATTCAAAGTTATCGTGTACAAGCATGGGACTTTTCCAATGGAGAAATACCAGATATTGCCAATTGTAAGTATCTTAAATTTTTTTTTAATTTCTGTTATATTCATACTACTCTTATTCTTTATTCTAAGTACTTATGCATCGTAGCTGAGAAAAATATCGTCGTTCACGAGTGCAAGATACATAACGATGCCAGTATAGACATTTCTTCGGATGGAAAGCTGCTAGCAGCACTTCTCCCAGGTCCATTTAATGTAACAACTACATTAGGTAAGTAATCATTACATTACTCCATATACGAAGTTCAATATAACGTCGATTTTTTTTAGGTGTTTACAGTTTACAATGGGAAACGTTAGGAGAGAAAATTTATTCGACTAAAATAGATCAGTCCGTAGTTTCTGTATCGATATCACCAACGCAACAACATCTTTTAGTAGGTCTTGGAAGGAAAGTTCATGTGCCAGCAAAACCTTTCTTTATGGCTTCGATTTATCAACTAATAGACAAGGAGCTTCAAAACGACAAAAAAATGTCACAGGACGAATATAGTACAAAATATAATTTATACAAAACGAAAGATCTTCATCGCAAGACTGCAAAATTTGTTAGTAATAAAAATAACAGTAATTCATGTAATCTGAAACAATATGATGCTGGCAATGATAGATCCTACGTACAAGACTGGGATATTTATAATATGGAAAATGGTTTAAATGTTAAAAATAAGAAAAACAATATGATACTTATACGAGAATTACTACAAAATAATCGAGAATCTACTGGATACGTGAGTTTAAATTGCATTAGATGGGCGCCACAACCCGGACAGGGATTGGTTTATGCCACTAACACTGGACAGCTAAATATTCTTCATTAATGTACTCGTAGAATTGTAACATAAAAATATAAATTCAATACAGTTTCAATGTACTTGTCTAATTAATATAAATTACACGTGAAAGCAAATCTTTGTTAGAGTATAATTTCCAGAACAATTTTTAATAATACAAACATCATAAGAAAAGATTAATTCCATGAAACTTCTATTAGAAAACAATTATTCATTTGTATAATAAAACTTTGTGTTGGAGTTACAGCACACTGTACTTACACAACCAAAGTGATATTGATTCTAATCATTTACATCATCAATTTCTTTTCTTATGGCAGTATTTAAAATAGAAATCATTATCAGTATTAAATTTAATACCCAATCTCCTCCTCCCATAGATTTACTTCAAATTTTGAACATTCGTATGTCTACGTGATAATCGTCAATTTTCTCCTAAATTTGGGAAGGGGGACAATGCTCTTTCAGGTAAGATAAATCTGTTACACTAATGTTACCATTAATCTTAACATGTTGAGCAAAGTGCTACTTTTTGCCGATTTCGATGACTTTTGAATATGTTTATATATTTGCAAAAAACTGATGCTATTATATAAACATGAGCCCCTGCCCGCTACTTATCTACTATGCAAATACTCCAAAGACGATCGGCAACCCAACGTACATAACGGGTGAACTTGTAATATTTTTTTTTTCGAACCACCTAATGTTAACAACATGCCTAACTTTTCTCCGCACAGTATCCAAATGGAACTCAGATAGTCGGATAACACGCTATTACAAAGAACTCTAATCGTCAGGGATGAAGAAAATGGAACCACGCGTGAATAAAAAAAATCCTCGGCGGAAGGTCATCCTTAGAAAACGTTGCGATCCTTTCAACTGTCAAAGCTTAGAAATACAAAAAGAAGCAAAAGTTAACCTTACCATTTCTTAAAACTTCTAGCTCGAAATGAGTCTCAGCATTATCTCAGAGATGCGATTGATGGTGTTTAATAAGGCCCACACGCGTTAAAATTTCTCATACAAGATCGTATTTTTATAAAGTTATAACAAATTTATAACGTTTGTAAGCTTATGATAAGAATTAATATGTAAATTTGTAACAAATTTACAAAAAAGTTTTAATTGAACACTACATTAGGATAAGATACGATTCGCTTCGATACTAGAATCGTTATGTGTATGTTCGATATACAATCGATACGAAATCATCCCAACAACGTTGTACATATTTGGATTCTTTTTCAATATCTCCAATACATTATAAATGTTTTTATAAAAATACAAGGAAACGATATGAAAACGTTATTTTTCATTATCAAATGATTCATCGTAGCGAGTGCTTTATCACTTTCAGGAATCGGCTACCGAGCGCAGGTCATTTTCAACAATACTGCCAAATGGTGGGGATACTGCTGTACCAGTTTTAAGGTTTCGAAGGCGACATCTTCCGATGCACCGCCGTATTAGAAAACTTACAAAAAAGGAAATAAAGCAGTCGTCAACAAGGTTTAGGCATATCAAGTGCAATCTATGCAGTCCGTACGAAGAGTTTCCCTACGAAAATGGCAAATAGCAATGAAAATTATAGAAAGTCTGCTCTCTCGGTAGAACAAAGATTCGAAATTGTACAACAACTGGATGGCGGAGCACCTATCACCAGAGTAGCTGCTAAATACGACGTTCACCCCGCCACCGTTCGCCGAATACGACGGAACGCAGCGACAGTATGTCAGCTTGTGGAACAAGGGGCTGAAATGAGAAAACGGAAGAACCTACGAAAACCGGCGAACGAAGAATTGGATATCCGTTTGTATGCGTGGTTTTTAGAGCAAAGAGCGCTCGGCGACCCGATCACGGATCTAATATTATTGGAAAAGGCAATAGAGCTTAACAAGGAATTCGGAGGACCGTCAACTTTCAAAGCAAGTAGAGGCTGGTTGTGGAATTTCAAGAACAGACATGGCATTCGCTTATCGAACTTCTCCAGCGAAAGAGGAGAAGCGAGCACAACAGTCGCACAACAATCGTTTGTTGAGGAATTCACCCGACGACTGGTACAAGAAAGAATAGAGTATAAAAATATTTACAACATGGAGGAGACCGGACTTGTATGGAAGGCTCTTCCTACGAGGACTGCGATACAAGGCGAGAAGGAAGTGGAAGGAACAAAATTAACGAAAGATCGCGTAACCGTGGGCTTTTGCGTCAACGCGACAGGAAGCCACAAGCTCGCACCTTTGTTTATTCATAAATTCAAGAATCCAAGGGCGTTTAAACATTGCAAAGATCGTCTGCCTGTGATCTTCAAATCACAACCACGCGTATGGATGGATCAAGAAATATTCGGTGACTGGTACCAAAACCATTTTAAACCGGCAGTAAGGGAACATCAGACGATGACCGGCTCCTATGGTAAAATCATCCTTCTCCTAGACAACTATCGAGAATACAATTTGCCTAAAGAGTTTCTGCAAGACGATGATTTTGAAATTATATTCTTGCCTGCAAATATTGCCCCCCTCCTCCAGCCTATGAACCAAGGGGTGATCGAAGAAACGAAACGATCCTACCGCCGTAAAATGTTGCATCGAATAATGAACTTTCCCGGCGGCGTGCAACAATTTTATTCCGATTACGATCTCAAGGATTGTATTGATTTGTTGCACGAGGCCTGGACAGAAATTAGCGCCACGAATATTCAAAACACATGGAAAAGTATCATCAAACAAATCCCTGAAGAGGTTCTAATAAAAGAAGAACCGGGAGATCCGTTGGAACCTAATTTACAGGACATTATTGGCGTGATCACGGGAGAACAAGCGTCGGAAGAAAGCGTAAATGATTTCTTAATAAAATGTACAGAAGCGGAGAATAATTTCTCCGAGGACGAGGGACTGGAAGAAGACGAAGACGAAGACGAAAATGCCTCTAATGCTGGTAATGGAGTGTCATCCCTATCGTCGGATACACTGATAGAGGATGATGAAATGAAAAGGATATTTGAGAATCTAATCACGTGGTCCGAAGGAGAACCAGATTTTATTAAATTGCACGTAAAATATCTGAAAGATTATTACGAACAAAAATGATGTAAATAATATATTTAAGCAATATAAAAATAAAGTCATACAGAAAAATTAGAATTTAATTTTAAAATAAATTATGAACATTTTATACTAATTATAACAGTAACTTGCATTTTGTATACTGTTCTTCCCGACTCAAAATAAGTTGCATTTGTTCTTAGGAAAATTCTTATCGATTTGTAAAAAAATATAGTTGTAACTAAAAAACAATTTAATTGCTATATAAAATGGCACGATTTTTTTAATCCAGAATCATTAAACAAACAAAAATTCAAAATCGTCCGAAGAGCGTCGTATTTAGAATATATACAGATAAATAATGAAAAATATATGATAGCTTCATTTATTATGGCGTGTGCCTTATCGTTTTCAACTAATATATTAATAAATAAACTTTAATATATTAAAGTGAAGGAAAGCAAAGCGACGATGTATGTGTTGCTAAAAGTCGATGTAATTTATACATATAATTATTTATTTACAATAAACAAAAATATAAAATATATAATTATTTACAAAAATTTGAAAACGATATGCAAAACTTTAGAGTTTGTATCATATAGTACTTTTAAATATATAAAACATTGTAATATAAATGTTTTATTAACGAAAATGACACCTAACAAAGTAATATATTCATAGACTGATAAAATTGATGAAAATCCTATTTGGAACAAATTTTTATTTCTTCATAAAAGAATCCTCTATTGTACCCAAAAAGAGCTCTACAAAGAGTTGAAACTTTGTACTAATTACTATTTAACATTATAATTCTTGAAGCTTTAAATATCAACAACGAAAAAGTGATTACCTTTTCCGTATGTAATACATTTATTGAATGAAGAGCAATTAATTTATATGATTTATTTATCATGTTTAATTATTTATAAGTATTAATTAAATCTTGTACAATTATTTTCTAATGTAATTACTACTGTAACTATTAATATGTTACTATTGACTTCTGATTTATAAATTTTGAGTAAATGACATGAACATTGCTAGAATAATTAACGAAATTTAAGAAAACAGTTAAAGCTATCCATCATCATATAACAAACTATGTAATAATTCTGGAATTTCTGGTTGTTTCAAACAAAGAGACTCTTTATTTTGTAAATTTGTAGAATATTTATTTCGTTCTAATTGATCAAGATCACGGTCTAAAATTGTTTCAATTTCATCATCAATGTATAGAGGATTTTCATAAATCTTTGTGACATATGAACAACTTTGCTCTGTGGAATTTATAGTTTCATTTATTGTATTTTGTAACTCAGTTTCTAACATGTTAACTGTACTGAAATTATTTAATGGTACAGGTACAACACAGTCAATTATTTGATTATTGTATTGAATCTGCCCTCTCAATTCTGTCAAAGAAGTAGGTATTTGATGATACTTTACCTGGTGCACTTTTAAGTTACTAGTCTGTGAAAACGTTTTCAAACAGTAAGTACAATGATAAGGTTTTTCTCCAGTATGACATCTTGAATGTCTTTGTAATTTGTACTTTGTTACAAATTGTTTTCCACAGTCTGTACAAGTAAACGAACTATTTTCCGTTTGCAAATTTTGGTTACAGACAGATTTCTCCATATCCAAATGGAAATTTATCAAATGTGATTTTAGCGATACTTTATAACGAAATGATTGGTGACAATTAGCACACTGAAATTTCTTTTTCCCTTCATGTCTTTCTAAATGTTTTACTAATATTTCTTGTTGATTGAATGACATTTGACAAATCTGAAAGTATTGTGAAATGAACATTAGGAATAAAGAATGCCAAATGTAGCGTTAATTCAATTGTTTTAAAACAATTTTGATGAAATTATAGGAGAGAAAGAATTTTTCTAGCATTTGAACCTAAATTTTTTGGTTGCCAGGCAACTATTTTGACCAATTATGATATACATATCATAACAATTCCTTCTCTCCCAAACTATTAACAATAGAATTATAACTTCTGCTAAAGCATATCAAATAATTCTATTATCTTACGAACATTACAAACAAATGGCCGTTGTCCAGTATGAATACGCTTATGTCTATTTAAATGTGCCTGACACCGAAAGCTCTTAGAACATATTGGACATATGCTTTTTTTTATTCCTTGTTTTCCTAAGGAATTTTTTGGAATTGTATCATTTTCTTTCAATTCGCATAACATACTCTGAAAATAACATATTTCTTAGATTTGATCAATGCATCGAATAACAAATAACAGTTGTTTTTAAAAATTATTCTATACTTCTGCAAAATCAATTTCCAAAGAAGGACTTGCAAGTTGTTTTTGTACATTTGCAACCATTAAATAAAACTCATCAAATATACAAATTTTTTGTTCACAATCGATACAAACATATTTAGAATATGAATCAGAATTTGATATACTTATCACCTATAACAAGAGAACTATTAAACTTATCCACAGAAGGAAATAATTCTCAAAATACCATAAAATATACCTCCTTAGAGAAATATTTGTTTATAATTGATATTAGTACGCTTCCTTTGACTTTATCCGTAAATAAATCTGTGCCGTGTTGTTTCTCCTTACCGCACAGACGACATAACTTCAAATTCATTTTATGCAACATCATTATTTCAAGTTCTTTACAAAATCAATGAAAAAAAATGATAATCTCGATACGATTCTTCGACCAAAGTATTATATTTAACTGTACAAATAAGAACACGTGTTACACATATACATTATGACACGTTCTTTTAATTACTGAAACAACAAAAGCAATAAAACATTTTTATTTTCATACATTTCTTTTTTAGATATCGTTTAAATTAGTGTTCTTTGAACAAATGCCTATGAGTTAATCAACTGCAAATATCTATAAAGAATAGATTTTTTACAAATTTAACATACTCTATTTGTTTGTTAGTTATGTTACTAGATTGTTTTGACAGTGGTTCTCAAGAACTGGGATATTCTCACCCTATGATGACCCTTTTGCACAATACAGTATAAATTCGTTAGAAACGCATTTTCGACTACACGTTAGGTATGCGTTTCTATCCCCACTACTCTTTCTCATTCCTGCATGCCAGAAAAGAGAAACAAGGAAGAAACGATTGCATAGAGTCGTGTCTCCTCTACATTACACTTATGCTACGGCCCTGACCCCACTTTTACTTTACGTATAATATTGTTAGGGAAATTTTACAAGTAATAAATTGCGAGTACTAATAATTTCTCTTGCACAATAACAGTGAGATTTCTAGTACACGTAGAATTTTACAAGTAAGTCTCCTGTTTACATTGTATTGTTTAGCTATGTTAACTGTATCTCACTCGTACTCACTGTTTCTCGCTCCCTCTGACTTTATCCGCAACGTGCATTCACAGTAAATGGCGTGTGACGGAGGGACAAGTGAATACTTGGCCTAAGCCACGATGTAAGAAGAGAAATGATTCGTCTAGCTTATCCCTATTACAAAAATACAGATTAGAAACTCTCACCCATGGATCTGCACCTCACTAGAGCACCTAGTGGACTGAATCAGAAGTTCTCAGTTAAAATCACAGAAGTAAGGATGGAGTCGGTGAACCGTTCACCTGTCCTTCTTACACTGTGGCTCAAGTTAACTGACAATGAGCTATATTGGTTATGTTTACGTTAATACCGGACTTTCGCGTTGTTGCCAAATTTACCTTCAGCACCTTTAACAATAAAGGTGGCTATGGTAACACCCGTTTGTTTTATTAGCGTGTATGTGATATGTGCAGAAGTAATCATTGGTAATCGTCAAGATGGCATCCACCCCTGCAGGGAGAATACATCAGATTACTTACGAAAAACGTCTAGAAATCCTCCAGAAATTAGAAGAAGGTGCTACTGCGGATCAGCTCGCTGCTGAATATAATCTCCATAAAAGGACCATACAAAAATATCGAAAAAATGCGACATCGATTCGACAGTTTTCGGAGAGTTCTAGCTGTTTACATTCAAAAAGAATACGGCCACCATTGCACGGGGTTGTCGATGCTCGGCTATACAGATGGGTTTTGGAAAGACGAGCGTTAGGAGAGAACCTAACGGACAATCTTTTGCAGGAAAAAGCGATGAAATTGCATGCAGAATTTGGTAGTTCGACGAAATTTGTGGCAAGCAACGGTTGGCTAGAATGTTTCAAAAAAAGGCACAACATACGTTTCACAAGCGTCTACAGAGAAAAATCTGACATGAATACAATGCCTTCGGAAAAATTTTCAGATGAATTGAGGCACATATTGATCCAAGAAAATATTGATGAAAGAAACGTGTACAATATGTATGAGACAAGCTTAATGTGGAAAGCCCTTCCGCAAAGAACATTGGTTCACACTGAAGAACAATGGGTAAAAAGCACAAAAATAAGAAAAGATCGTGTTACTGTGGCATTTTGTGCAAATGCCACTGGAACACACAAGCTGCCACCCCTTTTTATTCACAAGTATGCAAATCCAAGAGCTTTAAAACACTGTAAACATATTTTACCAGTGATATATAAAAATGAACAAAATGCTTGGATCAACAAAGACCTTTTTAATGATTGGTACATCAATCACTTTAAGCCTAGTGTAAAGCAATACCAGCTACAGCATCAGCATGTGGGAAAGGTGTTATTATTGATGGACAATTACATAGGACAAGTATTTTCCAAAGAAGCACAGGAAGAACCTCAATTCAAACTAATGTTTTTTCCATCCAATACGACCACAATAATTCAACCAATGAATCAAGGAGTAATCTCCAAATGTAAAAAATTATTTCGGCATAAACTACTTAGTTTAGTTCTACAACATGATAGTAAAGTGAAACAGTTTTATGTTGATTATGACATAAAAGATTGTATTGACTTGATCGCCGAAGCATGGGATGCAATAACACCAGTTACCATTCAAAATTCATGGAGAAAAATTCTGTATCAACCATCTGCAGACAATACTTTCAAAAGACACGATTCAAATGCCTATATGCTAAAAGAATGGCAGCAATTTGAAGAAATAATTCATGTTGATGATATAATTGAATGGATTACCAAATGTGAAAAAGAAGAGTCCATAATCGTGAAAGAAGAAAATACAGATTCGCAAGATAATGAAATAGAACAGGAAATTGATTATATTTTTAATGGCTTGACAACATGGACAAAAACTCAACCCGAGTTCATAAAATTACATGCAAATATTTTAATAGATTATTACAACCAAAAATAATATATTTATGTATATGATTAAGAATGTAAATATACATTTATATTAGTACAATAGGTCAAATAGATTTGTGTCATTTGTAGGAGGTAGCAAGCTCTGTTACTTATTAAAACTCTGTCTGTTTTTAAACAGGCAAGAGTCTGTAATATTCTCCTTAAAGGGCAAAAATTTAGTTGGCCCATTGTACAAGACTGTGATTTAATGTAATTATTTTTCATTGTAATACTGTATAAATACGTTTTCATGTCAGTTCTAATTATACAGAGATTTTTCTATACATATATGTGCTTCAACACTACCGAGATTATGCGCGTGTCGTTTGAAAATTTGTGATATTTTAACAATAAGTATATTTTTTAATTTTCAATGTTACTCTGTTATCATAGTATAAATTTGCGCTCTACGCCAACGTTGTTGCTGTATTATTGGTAATAATACAACAAAATGTATAATTTGTAATTTAATTGTTTAGTAATTGCTTTGGCGGGTATGTGACGAGCGTCTTCAGTATCTCACACGGAATGTTTAATGTTCTTTTAATTTTATTTAGGTATTCTACAGAGATCTACGAAAAAATACCCATGCTGTTATATATCGAAATGCAAAAATTCGTCTAAAACATAAATTTCTTGTTTTACCAAAACATAGGGAAGTAAGATCGTATCCGATAATAATGGCTAATAATTTTAGTTATAATGAATTAACAAAAAATCTTGTTTCAGCTTAAAATAAAATGGTGTATTTGAAAGAAAGATGCAAGCATCAAATATGCAAAATATATTTTCAAGAAGATAATAAAATTGATGGACTTTTTAATGGAAGACTTACGAAGTGTGGTAAATTTCCATTTCAGAAACTCCTAGGGTTAGTAAAACAAATGAATATGTTGGTAATTTCGCCAGAATCGATATGTTTCTTAGATTATCGAGTAAGAATTTTTTAACTCTGGTACTAATAAGGGAAAGCCGCGAATTGTAGTCAGAGTTTCTTTTTTTATTGTTTTTTGTTTTAGTAGTAAAGACCGTCTCCGTTCCGTTGACGAGAAATAACTTCTTAAAAATTTATTTCCTCAGTGTTGATCGTATAAATTGAACTATCGTCACCAAAATAGCGTGATGTAAATGGTAGTAGCATTTTTAATTGATTTCACACATGTATGTATATTCGCGCATAAGTTTTTTACGGATACGCCAATTTCGATGAAACTTTTTATGTTTTATAGAATACGTTCCTGAACTGATCCCGTTGTAAGTACTTTTAAAATAAATGTGATAAAAGGCAGACAAAAACGATTATAACTATTTTTTGTTAAAATTAGGAAAACGAAAACTTTTTAATAGAAACAGTAACATAGTTACAAAAATAAAAAAAATTGTGCTTTAATTATTTTTGTTATGTGTGTGTGTGTATGTGTGCGCGCGTGAGTGTGTGTGTATATATATATATACATGTATATATAATAAATATTTAAGAATTGTCTTACCAAATTTTCTTCGCTTCGTGTTTCATATTTCATACAATTTCTATCGATATAAATAGACACGCTGAGTGACGTCATATCCGCGTTTTCATGCTGGCGTCTGATTGGTCGAAAATTACAGGGCAACCTTTCTATTCTGTGGATCGTGGTTAATTCTACATCTAATACATAATAATAGTTCGTTAGGAACGTGCAGGTCTGACCTAACACGATTTCGTAAGATCGTTTTTCTCCTCTGGAATACAGGAGTAAAAAAGAGTGGTAAAAAGAGAAACGCACACTTAACGTATAGTCGAAAAGTATTCCCAACGAACTTGTACTGTAGCATGTACGATATGCAACACAATAATAAAAAAAATGTCAAACTCCCTAGTTGCTAACCAATGATAGTCTAGAACAAGAAAGCTCAGTCTTAAGAGAGAAAAAAACTATTTTATTATTAAGCCAAAGAAAACAGCAATATATGTTCTTTGCACAGAACGTAAAACTCGAAGATCTTTTTCTGTTATAGATATACATTATAGTTTATGCATGAATATGCAATATCAAAACAGCACTCTAAGGGCGGCGTTCGCAGAAACATATAAAAATATTAGAATAATTGCGTTAAAATGTGCAGTAACGATGAGAATGGCGTGCAATGAAGACAGCGTATTAGAGCTCGTGCACACGAGCAGAAATGAAATTTGATTGAATGATCATTTAAACAATCAGCCGGCACAGATTGTGCTTAAAGACGTCAATATAATAGACATTTATTACATTATTAATTACGATACATTTATAAAGTGGTTCTTACAATCTTTAACTATAATTTCTGCGTTCAGATCTATACAAATGATTTCTGACTATATGTGGTACATTTGACCATCAATGTGGATAAAATTGAAAAAGGAATGTATAACAATATCACCTTTAGTTCTGTCAGCTGATCGTCATCCATCAACAACATGTAAAGGGTACACTGTGATAAACTCCAAATTAAATCATTTATATAATCACTGTGGTACTGAGTATTACAGTTTGATTTATATTTTATAAAATTTTGTTGGGGAAGAAAAACAGAGATATCAGAGAATCTTGTAAAAGAATGGGAAATAAAAGTAGTTGCTGTGTCTATTCTAGTCCGCAAGTCGGACGTAAGGATCTGGGATCTGAAGGTGTTACCCGTGGTCTTGAGGAACATCTGCCGGAAGGTGGAATTAGTGTTAATAATTTACAACATATTAGTGAACGTGAACCAGAAGACTGGGATTCAGATCCGTCATTACATCCATGTGCTGGTACTATTTTTATGGAACGATCTAAACAAGCTATTGAAAGTATGTATCTTTACTTTCAATTTTTTAAATGTGATTATCATTAGAGGATTATATTTTGATCACATTATAGTATAAAAATGAAATCCTTAAGGTTGTAATAATTATATCATTGGTAATTATTAGTAGTTAGTGTTTTTAGTGATACAAAAAGTATATCGCATTAACATATTTATGAACTGAATTTCTTTTATAGATGGTATGGTAAGAAAAAAGAGTCAGCATCAAATTGCAGATATAAGGCCTTTAAAAAAAAGTAGTAGTTGCAGTACAATATATTTAGATGACAGTACTGTTTCGCAACCTAATCTTAAAAATACTGTGAAATGTGTTGCCTTAGCTGTTTATTATCACATTAAAAACAGAACTTCACAACGACAAATTGATATATTTGATGAAAAGCTTCATCCATTAACGGTAATTGAATTATATGTACATTTACTGGATTTTAAAATGAAAGAATATACAGGGCAAATCGCTTAAAGCTGGTATTTATAATGTGCATACTTTGCTTGAAAATATAAAAACTTCTGATGATAGAAAGATAGATATGTTAAATAATAGCATAGTAGTTTTTTTTATTTTACTAACCGTATATCCTATGCCACTTTTAAATAAAAAACAAAATTTATCTGTATTTTTGAAAATAAAAATCACAAAATACCGGTCACTTTAAACTTATATTAAATATAGATTTCTTATCAAATATGGAAGTGTAATGATTACTTATTTATAGAGGGAAGGTGTTACAGAAGATTATGATAAATATAATCCAGAACACAAACAAATTTATAAATTTGTGAGGACGTTATTTAATGCTGCTCAACTTACAGCTGAATGTGCCATTATAACATTAGTTTATTTGGAACGTTTACTTACATATGCAGAAATAGATATAACACCAGCCAATTGGAAACGAATAGTACTTGGAGCTATTTTATTAGCGTCAAAAGTTTGGGACGATCAAGCAGTATGGAATATAGATTATTGTCAAATCCTCAAAGATATTACAGTAGAAGATATGTGAGTTTATATACAAGTCTTGGAAAAAATAAGTGTATATAAAATAAATATTAATTATAAAATATTTTTTTTAGGAATGAATTAGAAAAACAATTTTTGGAAATGCTACAGTTTAATATAAATGTTCCTTCGAGCGTATACGCTAAATATTATTTTGACCTTCGCACACTTGCAGAAGCAAATGAATTAACATTCCCTAGTGAACCACTCAGCAAAGAAAAAGCTCAGAAATTGGAAGCAATGTCCAGAGTTTACGAAGACAAAGTCACTGCTGAAGCTTTGCGTACTGGTAATAAAAAATGGTCAAGTTTAGATAATATATGCATAGGTGGACCTAGACGTAGTATTGCTATTCTATCTTAAACATCGGATATTAGCGGATACGTTATTTGTACTGCATACCTTCACAATTAAGGTATGTGAACAAGAAAAGTTTTGCAGACCTATAATAGTATAGTATCAATCAATTTCAAATGTTTTGCAAGCATATCATTTTTATTATTCAATTATTTTATGTATCCTATTTAAAAATATTTTATTGTAGTGCATATATTTGATAAAGAAAATTCAATTTCAAATTAACTAATTCCATATGATTTGACTCACATAATTTTGTTTTTTTAGAATAAATTGTTACTATTTTTTTTTAAACAAAATTATTTAAATTTCCTCAAATTTTCATTTATTTCAATAATTTATTAATGAGCATTCTACTATTCCTCAGAGATTGCTTTTGCTAACTAAGAATCTTTTAATATGTTAAAAGAAAATATTAAAACATATATGAATGAAGCAAATGATAACTATTTTTACTCTTAACATTATCAGTGCTTCAGTTGTGATACATGTCAGTTGTCTTCTCTTCAAAGTAGTTTATTTATTAATTGATTTTGAAAATATAAAAATATGTTATATTAACAAGTTTAGTTACAAATCAACAGTTTTTACAAATTTGGTGCATCTGCATAGAATTTATTATATATAATTTAAATAAATACATCTAAAGCACTTAGTCAAAGTCTAATTAATCGTGTTAAGGTATTTGGAATACCTTTTTGTATCTAAATATTTTTTCAAAATTGTGTTCATATTTAATTTAAACTAAGTATAATGAATACATGAAACAGTGTATCCTTTAGAAAATTATTGTTATTGTATATCGTTTGACATTTTTAAAGTAGATATTACAATTATAATTTTGTCATATGCCACTGACATAATTTCCCTTAGCATGCATCCAGTTGTCATTTTTATACGTGCCGTTTGTCACGAAAATATTTGGACACCAGTTTAATTTCAACATTATGCTTTGTATCTTAAATGAATATACAGTAAACGAAAAAATATGTAATTTTGGATTTAATTTTTCTTTTTTCTATTTTTGCATTTCTCTTTTATTATTTAAACGCCGATATATAATGGATTAAAAGTTTGTAAATTTTTATTAACTAGAAAATATATCGTGATATAACTGAATATATTTTTTTTGGTTTATTGCACATTTATTTAAAAAACAGAACATAACGTTAAAATCGTACTAGTGTCCGCTTTCGTGACAAACTGTATATGCGCCTGAAATAAGTTTAAAAGTATTACTTGTAAGTATAACTAATTATTCTGTATGATCAAAGTCTTAAATACTTCCAGAATTATTAAAAATAATTAAACAGAACTATCGTCAATCTTAATTGTAAAGAAATTGTATACTAAATTTTGTACTATTTGTAATATTTTATGTATTTAATGTATCATATTTTCGAGTTCATTAGAATGTCGCTTATGGAATATAATTAGAACTAACAAATGAGCTTACATGTATCTTGCAAAATATTAAAATTCCTCTTTCTCGTCATAATTTTGCTCGTAAATTTGTATTGGTTTATTTGAAGAAAACAAGTAGAAATACAAAATTAAAACATTCATTCTATTCCTATGTAGTTATTTCTTGATATGTTAATTACAGAATGTAGCTATGAAAATAAAAAAATAACAATTTCTAAAATACATCAAGATATTCTTTATGAATCAAAAAAAATCATTATTATTATTATTTTTATCATTTTTTTCCGTTTAGTGAATGTAAATTAATGTCAAGCATAGTAATACATAGGTATATACATATATGTATACTATATGTGGGATTTTGATCATTCAGCATACGAACTTTGCTAATTAAATATTCATACATATTAATATTCTTGTATTAATTTGCGCTTAGAAAAAACGTCAATTTATAATAGTTACTGTATTCTAATAAAATGTTAGTAAATGATGCTGTTTATTATATAGTAGAGTCGCGTTATATCGTTTCTTGGTGTATCGCTGCCTGGTCGACTTCTTCGTCACGTGCATTTTTACACAAATGCCGCTTCCCTACCACATTAGTGTGAGCTCGATGAGGCAGCGACGTTTAGTATTATATTGCCATTTCGGAGAATTTTCCCTCTCCTACAACCCCGTCTGCGGCGATATAATGCGATTCTTTAAATGGAAAGTTATTCGTATTTAAGTGCAATGTAGTAGAGCAATACTATTTGCATTTTTAATATATTTTAATTGTTTTAAATAATAACTAAATTAAATTCAGTTTATCAACGTTTTAAGACTTTTCATTATACACGATTTTTTATGATTCAATAGATCTGTAAAAATGATATTGAAGCATTTAAAATAAACAGAAATACTATTTTAACGACAGCTACTATTTTATAAAACGAACGTAGTGTACTATAACGAAAGCTTCTTGAATCGGTCATTCAAGATATAAAAGACTTATTGTACATTAAACGTACGTATGTTGTGTATCATTAACGTTGCAATAAGATTGATCAAATCGGATAGTTATAAATATATATCGCGTAAGGATACAAATTTTTTAAAAAACTATTCTGCTTATCATTATGCAACATGCTCGTATGAAGGAGATTTGTAAAATTACAACCATTTTGCACACACGTTTATTAGTAACTTAATGTATGCGATTAAGATGTATAATAAGAGTTAATGAACTTATTTACAATAATTATTTAACATTTTGTACTCACAGGTTATGACCTTACACATAAACATTGAAATATAGAAATAAGCTAACACTTACATTATAACTGACTGTTTCCTTAAAAATTAATATAATCTAAATTTCTATCGAACCTTTTGAATACTATTACAGAGTAATTACAATTCATTCTTATTTTTATACTTTACTACAAAAAAACAACTATGAATAATGTAATAGGGAAACTTTAAATGTAATAATTAGATCATAATGTAAAATTAAATAATATCAGAATGTAATATCGCGTATAAATAATTTTAAATAGAATCCATAGTGTAGCAAAATATAGATATAGTATTAACATATCAATGATTTTTACCCAAATAAGACTTTTTAGTTCCTTGATCTAGATCATGAGGATACAGTTTGTACTATAGAGTGGATCAGTTTTATGTACTCCAAGACAATTATGTAAGGTGACAGAAAAGAAGATAAAAACTATAAAATGTAAATAATGAATGCACGAAGAAATGCCAAAAGATTATTAAAAGTTGCCAAAAAGTATGCAATATAAGTTATTTTCATTTTACTATTCTGATTTTCCAAAGAATTAGGTATTATAGTTTTTTATGCATACCACTTTTATAAGTAGAATTGCATTGTAACGATAATCTTGAAATCTGGTTGCATCTTATACTTAAATTACTACACCCTGTTTATGTGTCTCGTAAGGTTGTATTATAAATAAAGTTTTTTATTAATAACTGGTTGATTACAGTTCTGTAATAAGTTCCAATAATGTTATTATTAAATTGTATATAATTTAAGATTTTTTTAATTTACGTAAAAAAATTAATTTAATAATATAAATTTTCTATGCAAAAAAATATCGTTTCAATCGTTCCTTGTAGTATGTTGGTTTTTATGCAAATGTACTTCTCGTATAATAAAGATGAACCAGATATTATTTAATTTTTCAACTAACGAACATAAACTGATAGTGTAAATATTAAATGTTTTTGTTCGAACTAAATCGTTTCGCGCCTGAACGGATAATATAGTAAATGCTTCTGTGATCGAATAGCCAAAGGTACAGTATTCAACATATTGACCTCATGCAGAGTTGGGCTATTCACGACTAACAAATAAAATTTTTAGATTCATTTGTAAATTTATTCGTAAATTATAATCCGTTAACAGATTTTGTAAATCGATTTCCAGGAGAGGGATGCTGCGAGCAATAACTAGTTTACGAATGAATTTAAAAATTTTATTCGTTATTCGTGAATAACGTTGTAATTAATGATGCTAATCTAGCATTGCTAGCGAATGTGAATCTTTCCTTCTTGATCTCAAAAAAGCTGAAATATTGATATACCAACGTGATGAATTTATATACCGATCTTATTTCTTCCTGGATTGGTACCACCACAGACGAGGTACTATACGAGTGGACCTTTCACCCAATGTATTTTTTCGGCCCATTTTTATGGGGCTCTAGAGCCCCATTACCATTTTTGTGTCACTCGCAACGTTATCAACAGATTCAGAATTTAACACAAGTGGAAGTGAGACAGAATATAAAATTACATAAATTTTATTATTTTTTAACGGAATGAAAGCTGTACGGTCCATCATTGGACATTAATCGATTAATTTCATTGGAATAACCAATTGATTGAGATTATTTAAAGATTTTAAAATTATTAAAATACGTAAGGATCTCATTGATAAATACACCGCAAATGCTCTATTTTTTATTTTAAATTGTAATATATTATTTATTTAAAAACTAACTCGGCAAAAACGTATTTGCGACTCGAAATCAGTGTTATTAGACCGCACACCAGGACGAACAAGGTATGTGGAACTATAAGAAGAACGCAGCCATTAGCTCATATTATTTCCTATGTAATTAATAATTATATTAATTACATAGTAAATAATATAACCCGGGTCTCACCGCGTGGAGGTTGCTGCGACTGGAGACCCACCCTATCCTCGCCCCAACCACCCTTCCTTTGGCGAGGAATTCGAATACCTATCCAAGGGAGAAGCTATCGAAAAGTTAGAAACGAGCTAGAAAAGGAGAGTTCTTAAAAGAACTGCCCAATCAAGAGATGAAGAACCTAACAAAATGTCAATACATGTGAGATGATACACATGTTTTCTAAAAACGAAATTGAAATGTGCAACTGCACGCACGAACTCTGACTGATGAAGAGAACAAAAACCTAACAAAATGTTGATACATGTGAAATAATCCATCACGTGTTTTCTAGAAACGAAATTGGAATGTGCAACTGCACGTATGAATCCTGATTACTAAATTATCAATATGTACTTTATTATTAATTGTTCCTTCTTAAATAAATACTTGCATTACGACAGTGCCTAACAAGACACTCGTACAAAACGAAGAAAGGATCCTGAAGATCCAACCAGAAATGTGCTACTGCACGTATGGACCTTGCATATTAGAATAC